GACCTTTTTGTTGGCACTGTCTTGTCTGGTTACTTTATATGTTTTAGCTCATATCCTTCATTGATTGTATTGCAGTGATTGTATTGGCAGCTGCACCGGACCGATCTGAGCATTATCTTTCTTGGTACTGATGGTACAGGCTACTGAGCACCATCCCACTGGTCATCCACATTGGTGTCCAGCTCATTTTCCTGTTGGCTTCTTTTTACTTGGTTTACACACACACATTCCCTTCAGTTTGGGATGGTGTGCTAGTTCTCTAGTGGTATAAGTCTCAAAGTTCACACCGCTATTCCTCATCTGCATTTGCTCATGGTTTCTCCTGTCTGACTGTGGAATACTGATTCATGTTCCATGCTCTTGTGTGTATTCCTTACTTTGTGTACTGTCAGTGCAATATTGGGATGTACTTCATGAGTGAAATTAAATATAACAGCATAAATGTTTTGGACTTGGAGATTAAAAGGGGTGAAGGACGCAATATTAATACAGCAATCTATCAAAAACCAAACTCCACGAATAGCCTGTTACATTGGGGAAGTTCACATCCAGCAGCCTTGAAAAGAGCCCACTGGTCAATTTATGACAGCAAAGAGAAAACGGAAGGGGCATTCCAAATGGAGAGTCAAAAATTCTTTGACAGATTTCTGAGATGTGGCTATCATAAGACTGATTTGATTAAATCCTATGAGATTTGATTAAATCCTATGAGGTTCCGAGAGAATATCTGTTGGGTCAGAAAACCATAAATGTGGATGACCAGCAAGGCATAGGTACATACTCAAATAAATCAGGGCAGATTTTCAACATCATAAAGAGATATTTTGCATGAGGACAAGTATCTATCACAGATCCTATCTTCAGGTGTGGTCACTGTAAGGCATGTATTTTCTTGAGCAATACCAAGGAGTTTGTTAACCCTAAAAATGAGGAGATTATTAAAATAAGAGATTTCTATAATTGCAGCAAAGAGGGGGTGATTTATGCTTTAAAATGCCCATGCCCCCTGATATATGTAGGAAAAACAATTTGCCTCTTTAGAAGATGAGTTCTTGAACATGTGAATGATATTGCTCAAAACAAGGATAGACCAGTAGCAAGACATATGATACAAAAACATGATGGTAGGGCTGAACTTGTAAAATGTTGTTTTATTGACAAATATAATTTGGGTCCTAGAAAAGGAGACCAAGATAAATGTTTTTTGAAACTTGAAGCAAAATGCATTTTCCTTTTAGGCTCAAGGGGACCTTATGGTTTAAATGAAGGATTTGCTTTCCTTCCTTTTATGTGTGATTAGAGATTCTGTGCTTTTTGTTTGATTTTGCTCCATAAATGCTATATAATGGTATGAACTGTAATTTTGGTCCTTAACTAGTGGGGCATTAACAGTGTTTGAGAGCACGATCAGTGTCTATTGTGTTGTGGACTGATGTGTGCTGCAGTGGTGTTGTTTTTTGTCCACAGGATGGTGTTTGTTGAGGTACTGAGCATGTGCAGGTTTTGTCTACAAGATGGTGTCTGTTGAAGAACTGAGCATGTGCGGGGAGCCATTTTGATGGCTATCTCTATATATAGAGGTGAAACAAATGATAGGAGCCATTTTGCCACCATGTGCAGCTAAGTACAACTTCCAGCTACTATGTGACCTATTTTAATTCTTTATACTCCTGACAAAGCTCTGTTTTCTGGAGCGAAACATGTAGAATTTCTTTTTTCTTTGGTTTTTTCTTTGGGAGCACATTTTGAAGGCACATGGTATTCACTCTTCTCCCCCTTTTTTGGAGAGGTCTGTACTGCGTTTTACACTGCATAATTTGCATTCCTCAAGACAGTGAGGTATTTTTGTCTGGATATGGTGATGTATGGGGCTTGTCCATGAGAGGCTGACATTTAAGCCCGTGGATGAGTGTACCCATATTACATATCTGTAGCAAGATAGATTATACTATCTAATTAGTTTTGTCCATGGGGTAACTCCATTTCCTTAATCCTTAATAGAGATTGTATATTCAAGCTGATAGGCTTATGATCAAACTACAGTGTCTCTTTTTATGCTGTCACTTCGTCTAAAATGGTATGGTAGTTGATTTAGTCTGGTGTTATTAATCATTTGGATGTAAGGTATATAATTGCAATGGTATCCAGTCGTATTGTTGTGCTCAGTACATTCCACTTCAAAGGGCATTAATTACAGCTGAGCATACATTTTTTTTATATATTTGAATACAGGTTATATATTTTAAATTCATCAATTGGCCAGATGGTGCATAGGGAAATGCACCCTCGTCCAGTAAAGATTTGTTATTTGAAAGACGATGATTTACAATTTGGGCTTAAATTAATAGTTGATTTATATTGCGTGCGTTTGTGATTTTTGACCTCTAGCCTAGGTCAGATAAGTTTGTCCATATCTTTTTATATTGTTGTTCATGGTCTCAAATTTGTTCATTTATGGAACACATGGTATGGTTGGCATTGTAACATAACTTTGTTATGCTTCATTCATGGCTCTTTACCATTATGTCATCCTAGCCCACCTTTTGTTATTTTAATATGTCAAATTTCAAATTATGGGTGGTCCATTCCTGTCTGGTGTCTTGAGAAACTGGACTGAGCTCTATTGAAACATTGACAATAAAATTATGTTGCTTTGACTTATCTTCGCTGAAAGATCTGCGAGTGCCTTTATTTAAAATTGTGTCCCATTATATTTAGGTCAAACACATGCATGCTTTAGTGTTGAAAATAATTCCTTAAGTGAAAACAAATATGGTTACCCTTTTGAAGTTATTGACAGAGCTGTGACATAGCTGTATGCTCTATGCCTGCTTTCCTTCCCTACCTTCAATGCTGTTGTGCTGCTGGGAGAGCAGACTGTGATCCTGTGCCTGACTTCTCTCTCTTTCTCCTGCCACTGTACAGAGGATAGGAGCAGTGTGTTTGAAATCCCAAAGAGGCAGCAGAGACTTGATGTTGCTGAATGGCATTATGGGACATGTAGTCCCTGAGGAGCACTGAACCACAGAGGTTAATAGACTGTGAATTACAGGACCCAAAAAGTCCTGCATACAGAAGAGAAGATTAAAGTTTTCCTGGGAACTGACTGGAGGCCTGGGCAGTGCAGTACGGCCAGACCTGTTGCTGAGGTGTTTGGGGAGACCGGGGTGCCATTGCTGTGTTCCATGTTCAACATGCCCAGAGAGTTGTAGGACTGAGCCACTGAATAGGACCCGAACTGGAGGGACCCGTTGCCTTTTGCACCTACAGGAAAGGAGTATCTGTGAGAGCCTGAGCATTGAGGCTGAGCTTTGTGAGGACCTGATCGTGAGGGCTGAGCCACAGGGATTGGATTCCTGAGGGCAGCAGATCACCAAACGTTTTCGACTGAACTCTTTGTTACCAGGACTGGTGAGCAAAATCAACTGTGCTTATCCCGCCACTGTCTGCAGTTTAATGACAGTAGAGATTGCCCATTACTTAGCAGCCCAACAGTCATCCACTGCATGCAGTTTTAAAGAGACAGTAACATGTGCATCCCCATACAGATGGGCCCCAACATTAGCTGGCTTAAATTTCGTAATTAGGCACCAGGTACTTTACAGCCATTCCTAAGTGTACCCCTCTAAGGAAACATGTACACCCAACCACTGTTAGGGGTGTAGAAGTGTACTTGGGGACACTTTTTGACTAGTTATTGCCAATAGTTATAGTGAGACTTTTCTTTGTGCCATTTATGCTCTTCATGGTTGTTGTTGTTGCTGCTTCTATTTATGCTGTGTATACCAGTTTCATTTGGCTTAGCATTATTGTGGTTAATGTAAGTTATTTGCCATATTTGAGGCTAGTATTCCTGTTAGTTAGTCTAACGCATTCTAGCGTAATCTCTGATCTGTTTATTTGTTCATTGTGTTTATTTTGCTTTGCAATATATACTTACTTGATCTACAATCAAAGAGTTTGTGGCCTATTTCCTGTATGCTAGCATGGCATGTGGTTTACTAATATTTAAAGGTTACGTTCGTTTTTTGTATAAAAATAATAAATGCACATCTTTTTGCAGGTAAAAAAATGTGGAATTATTGATTTTTTTTTACATTGCACCCGCGATCAGCTGGTCATGGCTGCAATGCCAGGATCCTGCAGACTCTCAGTGAGCTGCCTGCCTATACATCCCATACAGGCATGCAGCTACTAAATGGCAGGAAGAATCATTGAACTTCAAGAGCACTCCCTAGTGCCCTCGCAGTTCAATGAGAACTACAAGCCATCATCTGCAATGGTTATCGGTACTTGTCGTCTGTTTCATTCACAAGAAACTATGAATGAATGATGTGGACGTTTGGGTTGTTTTTACATTGTGACAGCGAGTGCAAAGAGAAGATCCCCTGCCCAGTGTCACCCTAAAATGTGAACTTATCCCTATCCTTATTAAATTATACAGGTGTGTGCAGCCTTCAACTTAAATAACCAGGCGTATCAGGGGGGGACCGCATGGTTTGCAGAGTCATGGCAGAATGGAAAGCCATCATATCAAGTGGATCCTGTGGGGTTAAGCACTACACTCAACTGGTATTCTTCACTGCCAGAAGGGTGGAGAAGAGACAAAACTTAATTTAACACAATTACAACCATTGTTTCTAACTAGTAAATGCTATTTGAGTACATTTAAAATATATGTGCAATGCCAGGTAATTTAACTCACTAAACTGCACTAGATCTTCAGTAGCTCAGCAAACACAAAATGAGTGTATATGCTTTGTAATCAACATATAGTGATAAGATGCTTACCCTATCTCAGCAAATACAGCATGTATGGGCCAGAAGATAAGCCAATTCCAAAGAGTGGTATGTAGTCTTCAGCCAATAGAAATGCAACTTGACCATTGTGAAGGGTATCCCAATGCTTTATTAACTGGCAAGATTTTCAGTTTATTGTGGACTGTTCTTAAGTTGCCAAACTGAGCTAACTCTTATTGCACCAACTCCCGATCATCACAATGAGTTTGTCTGCTAGTGAGAAGGCTGCTCTGATTTCCCTGATGGGCAAAATGTCCTCTCAGGCCAGTGCTCTGGGTGCTGAGGCTTTGACCAGGTAATGTTATTTTATTCTTGGTCATATTTTGTAAAGATGATTACAGTGTGGGGGTAAATTGTAGTAGTATTGTGTCGCTTGATTTGAAGAACAGTGCCTCTACCAGATACCTTTATTAGATACCTTTGAGAGAAGCAGTTTGCTTTTATAAACTTTAGGAGCACATTAGATGAAAAAAAAATATAATTCCACCTTATCCTTTCTCCACTTTTCTGGAAATTTTCATTAGTATCACATACGTATGCTTTCAGCCTGAGTTAAATTTAAATGAAAATGGACAGAAAAAATGTAAATTAGTGGTTGCTACTAATATTTTCCGTATTACACATTATATATCATTTGTTTGCAAGTATTTTCCATGAAACCATAAAACAAGGACATAAATTTTGTCTTGAATACATTTCTTGAAGTACAGAAAGGTTCTTCTTCTGCTAGCTTTAGCACTAGGGAAGGGATACAAAGTTTGCTTTCCCAGTCTCTCTCTCACTCACTCTCGTGTGTATATATATATATATATATATATATATACTGCATTTATTTGCAATCTATATTCTGTTGTTTTATTTTTTACTAGGCTCTTCCTTAGCTTCCCCCAAACCAAGACCTATTTCCCCCACTTTGATCTGACCCCTGGCTCTGCTGACCTCAAGACACATGGTGGGAAGATTGTGAATGCTCTTGCAAGTGCAGCCAATCACCTGGATGACCTTGCTGGCAACCTGTCCTCCCTCAGTGACCTTCATGCATACAACCTAAGAGTGGATCCAGGAAACTTTGCTGTAAGTACTACTGAAAATTCCTATAAAATAATAAGATAACAAAAATGCATTGGATTTAAATGTGTTAGCAGCATTATATAGTAGTGAAACTCTAGTGGGCCTCAGTTTTGTTATTTTAATGGTCATGCTTCAAGTGGCAAATGTAGAGAATGCTATGATAGCTTTTAGGAAATTTGCCATGACAAATATATAAATGCTGTTATTGCTGGCCTCTCTAAAAAATGTTAGCTTCTGGACTGTAATGATTATTCCCTGCATTCAAGTTTTTTTGTGTGTCAGTAAAATATGAAGCCAAAATTCATGATATGAATACTTTGTTTTGGGTCACTAACTTGGAAGGTATTATTGCCAGACAGTGACCATAATAGCCAGGTAAATTGTAGTAGTATTGTGTCCAGGGGCGGACTGACCATTTGGAAACTAGGGCACTGCCCGAGGGCCCGGGGCCAGTAGGGGGCCCCATGAGATGCCCCTGGTAACTTTTTCATAGGCTTTTTGGAGTTTAGGCAAGGACACAGGGGCCCCATGATCCCCTATTGCCTGGGGGCCCCATGAGTTGTCAGTCCGCCCCTGATTGTGTCGCTTGATTTGAATAACAGCGCCTTTCACCAGATACCTTTATTAGATACCTTTTGAGAGAAGCTGTTTGCTTTTATTAACTTTAAAAGCACATTAGATTAAAAAAAAAAAAATTCCACCTTATCTTTTCTCCACTTTTATGGAAATTTTCATTAGTATCACATACGTGATGCAGCACAGAGAAGTTGCTTTGCCACAGTACTTGTAAGTGAAACAGTTGGCAATCGGTTATAGTATATGTACAGAATAAGTGTGTACGTAGACAAAAATAATATATCTTCTATTTCTCTTTACAGCTGCTGTCCCATGCTATCCAGGTGGTCTTGGCTTCTCACTTTCCTGATGATTTTACTGCTAATGTTGAGGCTGCCTGGGACAAATTCCTCGCTCTGGTTGCTGCAGTCCTCACCTCCAAGTACAGATAAATTCATCCTACATAACAGGTTACAACAGTAATTACAGCAAGTAAAATAATGTGCAATGGGGAGTTCTTCTGCCTCAATTCAATTACAACCTAGTTGCAATCATTTTTGAAGAGTATTTACTTGTGTATATTGTCCATCAAATATATATCTGATATAATCTTAAATAAAGCCCAATATATTTTTCATTTCTGCCTCAACTGTGTCATTATTATGTTTTGTTTGTTGATGGTTTTATGCTATTAAAAATATTGATGTAGTCAATCCTGTGGGTTAAGTAAAAAAAATATAACCGCTGTCTAATCACATATTTAGAGGGAACATGGGTTTACAGGACTGACATTAATTTGACATAACTTTGTAAGACTTAACTCCCCCACAAGCTTTCAACTCTCCAGTGTCTACTTATGTATATTAATTAAACTATATGTATAGCCAAAACTTATTTTCTTCCAGTTCTTGATACAATAGTGAGGAGTTAAAGTACTTGTCAAATTTTTGTCTGTGTCCCCAGTCGCTAGAGTTCCTCTCTATTTATCCTGATAATCATTATCAGCAGGATACAAAGAAATGGGAAATATTAAAACTTTTAGAGTTGTCACCAGAGAAGTGAAAACATACTCAGGTGCGGACTGACAACTAATGGGGCCCCGGGCAATAGGGGATCATGAGGCCCCTGTGTCCTTGCCTGTGTCCTTGCCCAAACTAAAAAAAGCGTATGAAAAAGGTACCAGGGGCATCTCATGGGGCCCCCTACTGGCCCCGGGCCCTCGGGCAGTGCTCGAGTTTCCAAATGGTCAGTCCGCCCCTGGACATACTGTATCTTCTAATATGGATTTTTGTTCTGGTGACAGCTATCTTAGATGGGAACTGATTTTAGTTTGAAGAGATTTCTTCGTACTTCCTAATTAATCTTTTGGGCGGGTAGTTAGGTGAAATCTTCTTAACAGGATGCAGACATCAAACAAAGAGAAACTGAGAGAGATTTTAAATTTAAACCTTCCATTTTCAATACAAAAATGAAAATGGCTATACATACACTTTAATGGTAAAGTAAGCACTATACAATATGCATAAAGGAATATGCATTTCCACCCATCTCTTAAAAAACTATACAATCTGATTGTGCAATCTACTTTAGATTTACTAAAACTATGTAATGCAAGGACAAACTTAAACAATATATTCATATCATATTAAATCAGGCAGACCCGTGCACTACATAGTTGATGGTATATCTAAAAGAGATAGCTCAGTCAGAATATACAGTGTATGGTCAGCCTTACTCTACCCTCTATATCCCTTGGTCTAATGTTTTCACATTGACGTGTTCAGTTTCCCCACTGTAAATAAATTAAAAACAAAACCTACATATATGGAAAATATCTTCAAGGTCCAGTTTCTGTATTGCCAACCTAGGCAACATTGGTTGAGCTAAAGGATGCCAGTGGAGTTAGGCAGCCATCCATATACTGTACCATGTTGCTGTCTATGTATGCAAACTGTCTTATGGTCTCTCCATTTCTTACCTTAATGTGCCTTGTATGACTAAACTGTCTAATCCTATTAGTATGACACTAAAGGTAGCCATACACAGATCACGTTTTTTGTATATCTCCTTCTGTATCAGCTTTTAAATTCAATCTGTTGATGGTTCTGCAAGCACCACTTTTATTTAAAGAGCAAAGGAGCTGGGTGAAAAATTGTCAGCAGGACAGGGAATATTTATCTGCAGGCAATGTTTGGGTATTCTAATAGTCAGCACCCAATAGTTGGGGCAGGGTAGATTTGCTGTTTAGTGTGGAATCTGTTGGAAATTTACAGTATGTGTGTATGGCCAGCTTTAGTTAAGTAATTCAAATAGGGTAGGAAAGGGAGGCCCAAAACATTAGTCCCAGTTCAGTATTAACTCTAGGATGTTGTCATAACTGAAAACAAAACTTTTGTGTGTGTTTTTTTTTCCACAAAAAGACGTTTTTATTGGAGAATAACAGTTACAAAGAATACCAGGAAAGAAGAGGGGCCCAAGGGGCCATAACATCAAATACAATCATAAAGATACAGAAAACACTTGCATAGAAAAATGTTCCCGTAAGAGATAGTCATTACCACCTCACGAGAGCATCTACAGTATATGTACTAAATGGCAAAGTCATAAAATTACATAAATTACATATCAGTTATTGTCCACCAAGCTATCAATAAGGTCCCTCTTAAGAAAAAGAAAACTATAGGCAGGGGAGGATGAGTTGTGTGGCTAGCGACATGAAGTGAGTCATGAATCCAATGCAATTGGAGACAGGAGGGGGGAGGGGTGATAGGGAGAAGGGGCAGTGGGGCAATATAGGGAAGGGAGGAGTGAAGGAGAGCGACTGAGGTGATGTGGAGTTGGCCAAATTGTGGCTATGGGGCATATATGGGGTGAGTGAAGGAAGAGTGAGAGGGGCACCAAAGGGCTGCCCCACACCTAGATGTCTCCCTCCCCCCACTCAAGTTTGATCAAGTTTGGGGGGGGGGGGGTCGCATAGACAATGGGCAGATAGTCTAGTCCTTTCCTTATTATGAGCTCATCGTCAAGTAGACAATTGTGGAAGGTGCCCGATGAGTCTGTGATATTCTGGAGTAGTTAGAAAATGGCTCCAACAGGACCAAATGCGTGAAAAATTGGAGGGGTTATCCGGTGTTGTTGCAATCAGTTCTTCCATGTCTGCTATTTACTAAGATGAGAAAAACAGTTGCAGATGGCACAAGGGTGGAACCACAGAAAACAGGCACACAAAGTCTAGCTGCATTGACCATGTGCATGGCCAATGACTTGAAATACAGTTTGCTGGGGAGAGATGCATGGTGAAGTAGAAATTGGGCCAGAGAATAGTCAAAGGCAAGGCTGGAGACTGAGGAGGTTATATGGTCTATCTCCACCCAGTAGGTCTGGAATGGTTGACAGTGCCACCAAATTTGTAGCATGGATCCTACTGCCACACCACATCTCCAGCAAAGATTCAAGGCAGAGGAGTTGAACTAATGGATCTTCCATAGGGTCCTGTACTAACATGTAAAGTGTTTTAAACTCATTCTCCTGAGTCAAAACATTAACGGAGCCTTTATGAGTATAGGTATAGGTATGTTCCCAATCTATGTCAGACAGAATAATGGCTAGGTCTTTTTCCCAGGAGCGACAGGCTGGGAGCACCTTTGGCGAATGGGTACTGAACAGTAGTGAGTAATTAGTTGACACCAGATGTTGTTGGGGCTCAGATCTAGAGCAAATAGCTTTAAAGTGGGTGAGGGTGAAGTTTAATTTGTTTAGGTAGGCCAGAGGCTGGAGGAAGTGTCGAACTTGAATGTACATCCAAAAGGGAAAAGTCTGATCTTGCATAGTCAAGGCCAGAGATGTATCTTTAGTTGGTCATTATGAAAAAAGTGTTTGGCATGGATACAGCGGTAGGGCCAGACCTTGGCAAGAAAATGTTTAGGCATCCACGAGGGGAATTCTGGGTTGAGATGTATAGAGGTCATTGGGCCTGGGGTGGAAGAAATAGGGACAGTTTTGCAGGCTTCATGGAAGGTTTTCACAGTTGGTCCTATGAGTGGGTGATCGAGAAGAGTTTGGGGAACATATTTTTGGGAGAGCCAGGGAACAGACTCCAGGGGCATTTATGAGAAGGAGTCTTCCAGACTGACCCACGCCTTAGTGGAGAAATGGACATTCCAGTCTACTGGATCCTAGAAAGGTAGCATGACCAGTAGTATTTTTGAAAATCTGGGAGTCCAATCCTTCCTTTGGACTTTGGGAGCACCAGTTGAGGGAAGGAAATTCGTGGGCATTTGTGGCCCCAAAGAAATTGGGTGCAGCACCACCTGCAAGAGGTAAAAAAGGCAGGGGGCAAATGGATAGGCAGGACTTGTAAAAGGTAGAGAAGGCGGGGGAGGATGTTCATCTTTAGTATACTGCTATCCCAAACCAAGAGAAGGAAGGTGTGTTCCACTGTTGTAAGTCAGTTTTGATACAACGTAAAGCCGGGAGGAAGTTTCTTTCATTAAGTTTGGAGAGAGACTGCGCGAAAGCTAAACATCCAGGTATGTTATGGCATTGGACTTCCAAGTAAAAGGAAAATGAGATTGGGAAAATGTCATAAGGTCTAAGGGGAGGATAATATTTAGGGCATACGATTTGGTGAAATTGATCTTTAGGTTTGAGATGGTTTGAAAGTATGCAAAGTCCTTGTGTAAGTTAGGTATAGTGATATGGGGTTCAGACAGAAAAAGTAAAATATCATCTGCAAACACGGCTATCTTGAAGTCACGCCATGAGACAGAGTGTCCTTTTATGTCTGTGTTAGATCACAGTCTGTGAAGAAATGGTTTGAGAGTCAAAACGAACAATAGCGTTGAATTGGGGCATCCTTTGCAAGTATGATTCCGGAGGGAGAAAGCATTCGACAAGTGGCCGTTCACATGTACTCGGGCACTGGGGTGTTTGTAAAGGGCCATGATTAAATTAAGCATGTGCAATCTAAGGCCAAGGGCTCATAGGGCTGTCGCCGCCCTGTTGAATGTCTTCTCTGCGTCCAAGGAGAGGAAGAAGTTGTTGTTTTTAGAAGTGCATAGCCAGTGGTGGAGTTTCAGGGCCTTAATAGTATTGTCCCTAGCTTTCCTATCAGGGATAAAGCCTACCTGATCATTAGTGATTAAAGATGGAAGAAGAGGGAGGAGATGGTTAGCTAGGCTCTTAGTGTATAAGTGTATTAGTTTAGCAACGATATGGGCCTGTAATTGGCCACAGAAGAAGCATCTTTGTCTCTCTTGGAGATGACAGTGATGTACGCTTCCAATAGATGATGTTGAGAGTGAGGGTGAGTAGAGAAAGTATTGAAGGCGCATAAAAATGGGGGGGGGTTAGGATATCTAAAAATGTTTTGCAATAAATTCCTGAGAGGCCATCTGGGCTGGGGCTCTTACCAGGTTTCAATTGTTTGACTGCCTGTTCCAGTTCCTTTGGTGGTAATTGGATGTTCCAGGTCCCGGGCTGTTTCTGCCATAACAGGTTTTGGGCTATACTGGCATAAGAAATCAGCAATCATGCAAGATCTATAATCTCCACTATCATGCGGTATGGATTCAGGGGGAAGATTGTGTAAGTTTTTGTAACAGCGCTTGAACAGAGAAGTGATGTCAGCTTTAGAAGTCACTATGGCGCTGTCATTGCCCCATATTCGATGGAAATTGTCATGCAGGCTTTCTTTGCACGTAAAGCTCTTGCCAAAAGTATGCCACTCTTGTTAGCCTGCTCATAAAAGATCTCTTGTGTCAGAAAATATTTATGTTCAGTCACTTTAGCCAGTTCTTCCAAAAGATGAGAACGCACACGTATCAGGAGCTTGTGTTGCTTGGGTTCATTTATGGGCTCTCTCCAGGGAAGAGTCTATCAGAGGGTGTAGGGGTACCTTGCGGCCACCTCCTAAGATTAAAATTCCTGTGTGGAAGGATGCAAGGATGTTTACAATTGAGTGGAAAAAAGAAACTTGTTACACATTTTGGCAATACACATTAACCAATGTAATCCAGTTTGTCAGCTAGCGTCCCCTTTAGGAATAGGTAGCGATTGTCTCGGCTGATTAAGGTATCAGATATAACTAAGGGAAGATGTTTAGCGATTAAAATTGAGACTCCTTTGGACTTGAAGAGCTCGTTAAAAGCATGGTAAACTGTTGGGAATGATGTATTATAAAGCTTGGGTATGGAGTCGAAACAAAAATGCGTCTCCTGTACTAAGACAACGTCAACTTTGAATTTATGCATGGTGGAAA